TTAAAGTTAGGAGTACCTTTCTTTTTTCTCTTACTTTATGCATTACACTTTTTCCTTGTACTTCGGGTTCGATGAAACATCGATTAACGACACTTATTGGTCGATCCAGAAAACCGGGAAATTCAGATATCCGGGATAGCGATGGTCCCGAGCATCGCGGATAATTGGTTCTCTACTGTATTAAGTCAGTTCTGAGGTAAAATATAATATTACCTAATGAAGTTGACATGTTCTTACAAACTTTTTTTAATTGAAAAATGAATCAACCTCGTTAATTTCGATCAACATTATATCTTAAGCTTTTTTCTTTGAGAACTTTATTAATTTTATTATTTGATGAATTTTAATTAAATGCCGAATTTCAATTTGTTCATGAATTCTATACAGTATGAAATAAGAAAGCAATTTTAATATAATTATGATATTGAATTAATTAGTTTGGGTATTTTCATTAGTATGGAATCCCTGTTTCAAGAACAATCTAAAAAATATTAGTTCATTTTTCAAATTGTTTAACTATGAAAAGACAAAAGAAGCTTGTTTAAAGAAAAAAGAATCGGATCAAAAAAGCAGAGAACGGATAAAGTCCTATCCAGATTCCTCTATAATTTTAAAAAAGAAAGAGCAAATTAAATACCTGGAAAAAAAAGGAAAAAGATAAGTGGAACCTGCCTCTCAAATAACTAGTCATAATTTAAGGGTAAAGATAGGAAACAATGGAAGGAAAACTTGTAACTACAGGTTGAAAAAACAAGCTCTAACAGAATCAAGTAAAAATGTAAATGTGACACCATTGAATAATAATCCTCCAAGACCTTCAAGTAAACAAAACACATTAAAAATTTCTGTACATAACAATCTATGTTCAAGTAAAGTTAGTTTTGAAAAGTTACGTGTGAAAAATATAGCAAATTTGGAAAGAAAAAAAAGATTCTAAACTTTAATTTGATCTATAGTGAATCCAGACATGGAAAAGAAGCTCCTGCCAGAATTGGAACTGTTATTAAAAGAACAGCAGATTAGAAAATGCATTAATAATTCATTTACAAGGACTATATTTACAGACATTAAGTTGTTACATAGTTCTGCCTATCAGGCTTACTTGGCGCGTACTCTTAAACTCTCTGTTACAAAATCATCTCTGTATGCACATAATTGTTACTGCGATCTAGTGGGCAACCATTTTCTTTTAAATTTATATAAATTTACTGCTTAATGTTAACAATGTATATATATATGCATGTATATATTTGTTACGCTTTGAAAACATTAACATTGTGAATTAGTAGTGTGGCCGGTGCTTATTGAAAAAGGTACAGGAACATGAAAAAGTAATAGAATTTTATTATAGTAAGGGCCAGAGCCCCAAAATGATAACATTATATGTTGGTGGATATATAAAAAAGAGCCAATTGACCTTGGAAAGAGGGTTTTTAGATCTTTCTGGACAATATATTTAAATATTAATAGGTCTTAGTAACGTGGGACTGATCAATTTCCCAAGCTACTAAAGACACATCCTGACCAATATGCTAGCCTATTGGTCAGAACTTCCTCATTCATGTAATTTCAATTAAAATTGAGTAAGTTTAGTATATTGTCCAATATTATACATTTATAAATGAAGTATTACAACAATAACATTTGTATAAAAGTAAGCTAATACTTCTGCATAACTTTGTAGAATATAATTTTATAATGCATAATAATGATAATGTACACATTTCCTTTTCCTGTTGAAAAGAATGAAAATAAAATAATTAATATCAAACCAAATCTAAAATATCTAAAATAAAAAATATCAAACAAAAATTTCACACTTTGAGGAAATTCTTTTCTTGAAATAAACTGGATCCACTGTTCAGGCCTGTAGTTTTCTAAACTTATTAATTTATTCATCCATGGAAGAAGAGAAAAAGAATGTTTGTGGTTTTTTTGCCATAATTGTTTCATTCTTGAAACAGTTATTATTCATGAAGTTATTAAAATTCACTTATCATTCAAATGGTTTTTACTTATGTTCTCTAGATAGAGAAATTTTTTTTTTGTAGTTTTTCCTCGAGCTCGGACCATTCCTCAACCCCGTGACAGAATCATGGTGACATTGTCGCAGACCGTTACAGAGTTCTTGCACTTTTTCTTTTGAATAGTTAAAACTTTAGTTTTCTTTTCTACAGAAATTTGCACTATATTTTGAATTATGCATTTAGATGGTCACTTTTTGGCACACTAAATTTATGCCGATAGTATCGTAAATCGATGTAATGTTTCGGTTGTATTTTTGGCAATTATTGATTTTCACATGGTTTTTAAATATCCTGATATATTTTAAACAAAATGGAAAATTCAAATCATGCATTTGAGTATTTACTTTTTAAGGCAATGATTCTATTGATTTTTTTGGCTTTTACTGCTATTCTATTGATTTCTCCATAGTTTTTAAATCTGATATTTTTTATACAATATTATTATATACAACAAACTAATCTTGAAACGAAGCACGCATTTGAGTAACCCTTTTTTTAGGAGTCCGATTCAAGTGATTTCATCATTGATCTTCTTTTTGAGAATTACAACTACGTATTTTATGATTTTTAATTATTTTTTTATTGTAATGATTGTAATATTGTAATGTACAAAGAAGGAAATAATTAGTGCATCCCCCCAACAAATTGTGAGAATATCACCCATAATATTAGAATAACAGTGTACGTAGCATTTTTAAAAAGTTCTTAAAGATGTTTATTTTCGATTTTTGTTTTTTAAAAGCCCTTAAAGGTGCTTTTTTCAATGGATGTTTTTAAAAAGCACTTAATTTTCTCTTTTCCAAAATGAGATTTTTTCGTTGCCATGTTTATTTTCGCCAGGAATTGTACAAGAATGCATTGTTCTATTCAACGTTTTCACAATTAATTCAACCCCAGTCTATTTCGGCGTAACGTTTGTTTGTAGTGTATGAAAGCACCATTCGTTTTACATGTTTCATGAATTACTTGTGCGGGTCCGCATTTGAGTATGCTGAGCTGGGTTCAGTGGGAAATATTTTTGTCTCATATGCAACTCGACTGCATTTTGCAAGAGATTCTGGATTTCAGACTTCATTTTCCGCCTTCTGGAATTGAACCAAGAAATCTCTCGAATTTTTGCTGATAACGGGGACCAACTAAACATTGTCAAATTATTTTCTCTAACATTGATAGAAAATTTTATTTCTCTTGTTAATTTCATCGTTGGTGAAGCACCATCGCCTTCATCACTGGTAAGCGGATAAAACCATCAATTGTCAAAAGCTTGCCAACCCTGTCTGATTGTGATAATTTTTAAGGTGCTTATTTTCTGCTGAAAAATTTGGCTACGCACCCTGAATAAAAAATTATTACATGTTTAATTAAAAATATATATATAGTTTTTGAAAGCACAGCGCTTTTGTTATTTTAAATTAGTAACATATATCTTTGTTACTGTTAAAAGTACCTTGCAGAAAGATATTAGTGCTAGAGCAGGGGTCCATCTAGGGCAAATTTTACTACCGTTTGTCGGTACCTTCACAAATTCAACTTTAGGAAAAACAGTAGTTTCTCAAAATGCTTTTAAAAAAGCAAATTCTGAGATTCTCCTCCCCGCCTCTTAATTTTGTTTTTGTATCCCCGTAAGAAACTATAAATCCCGGGTTAATTAAGCATATATAAATAGGTAGCACGTGTTTGGTCAGATTGTGGGGTATGGTAGCCTAAGCGGTCGCTTACACCATATTATAGCAAGCATTTTTTTTAGTAGATTTTTTTTTTAAAAATTAAACGACGAGACACTATATGAAGTTGAAATTCAAACATTATTCTAAACATTCGGGCATGGTTCTAAATTTATTCTAACAGACCTTTATTCCAGACCTTTATTATTTAACAGACATATTTTATTTTTTTATAAAACATTCTTTTCTTTGTGAAACTTCTTTCTATATGACCCCTCCGGAAATGTTCTCATGAAAATAACTTATAGTGATGCATGTTTTTTTAAAATTCAAGTTGAAATTTAACAATGGATAATGATTTTTGATTTTTAAGTTTAGATACAGTTTTAAGCCCGAAATTTTACATTAGCAAAATTATTTTTGAATGTATGAGGAAAAATATTTAAAATTGACAACATTTACGGAGGTCAACAAAATTAAGGATTGGAATAATCCTACAGGCCTTATACAAGAATGCTATAAAATTTTTGTCCAATTAAAATGTTTCTCACTAAAAATTTAATTAACTTGTCCTGAAAAAGTTAAAATCATTATTTTCATATATATTTTTGTATACATATATTGATTTATATACATATTTTTTACTTTAAATGTAAGGTGCTTATATTAATTTGAATTTCTCCTTTTGATTTACATGATTATGCATGATGTATCAAAACTTTACTTGTAGCCTAAAAAATTTCACTAGTAAAATGTCCGTTATTTTATTTCTCCAAAGTTGGCAGATATGCTTACTGTGCAAAATTTTTTTGACCGTTAAATATAATAATAAAAAATAATAAATATTTACTAAAAGTATTTTTTACATTGAATTATATTTGGATAAACGATTTATATAACTGTGCAAAAAATTTTCAATTCCCTTTAAAAGTGCTTGAGATATAGCAAAATACCCAAAAAGTGCAACCATATTTTCCAGATTGCAGCTACCCTCGATATCTTAGGGGTCAGAAATTCGAATCCCTTGAAAAAAAGGTATGTTTATTCAGAGAAAGTATGTTTTTTGTCATTTTTTTTCACTGTACACTAGAATACTGATGTATATCTTTTATTAACTGAATCTTGTAAGAGATATATCATGCTCTCTTTTAGAATCTTTATCAAAATGAAAGCTACTAAAATATGAATTGTTTTTTGCATTTTTAAAAGAAAAACTGTAATCTTTAAAGAAAGTGAATAAAAAATTTATTTCAGATCGAAACTTGTATGCTAATTTCATATTTCTAAAAATATTTTTTCTTCCTTACAGTTTAAACATGCTTGGGGTGAATTCAATGTCCCTACACAAGTTATGAATTGTTTGACATCAAATGTGTTTGATCTTACTTGGAGCAATGAAAAGTTATCTCAAGAGAAAGGAATAGTATTAATTTATCTGGGCTTCAATGAAAATGCCTTTCGATCATTGAATTATGCTTCTCAACCAGTGCATTTTCGCTCTGGGAAAAATATGAAAACTGTCATTAACTATTTTTTTGACATTCCTGTAGAAAGTATGCTATCAATATTTATACATTTTATATTATAATTAAATTTTATATTTGCATGACAGGGTCTGTCCAAGCCAAATATACTACTGTTTAGCGGTACCTTCACAAAGTTAACTTTAAGAAATGCGGTAGTTTCACAAAATAATTTTTCTTGAAATGTTATTTTTGTGTTTCGTAAAAAACGATAAATCTATATTTTTACCATATTTTTGTGTTGATGTTTTAATATAATTTTTAATTTTCACGAATTATGTCTAAATTTTCACAAAATAGGAACCTCTCAGAAAAACCTAGACAGACCCTTGTATGATGTGTTGTGTTATTGCAACCAAGTTTCAGAATAGTGTCTGGTTTTATGGAATAGGATAGTTTTTGGTTTCCAGGATAGTTTCTGGTTTTCTCATTTTGCTTTTGAGAATATTGTTATTAACTGTAATATCTGAGGTTTACAGAATTATTTATTTTAAATAGCAAATTGAACCTCACCATTTTCATTGGTTTTCTAATATGAGAAAAGTCAACAAAATGGAGGTAAGGTACTCAAAAACAATTATCAAAATCAATTTTAAATGAAAAATATAACCTAACCATAATTTAAAGTTATGAACAAAAGCAAATTTATTAGTGATATAGCATAGGAAAGATTTTTAATAAATCTTGATTCTTAGAATTGTAAATATAACCTATATCATCTTAACATAACATTCTTTATATATTCCCGATTTAAGTTAAAATGTATAATTGAGTAGTGGAGTTAAAGATAAGGAAATTTTATATTTCTGGAAATTAGAAAAATCACTCACAAATGTCCTATTCAACACAGGACAGCGAATATTTAATATTGCTCCCAGAGGATAAATGGGAGTGAACATTGCTGTTGATTTTCTATTCAATGCAATATCGAAAAACTTAGGTACGTTGAAATGTAACTTTAGTTTTACTAAAGTAAAAGGACTTTTATTATCCTAATTTTGAAAAGATACTCAGCCTTGAGATTTGTGCCATTTGACTAAAAAGGAAAAGTTTTTCATCAGAAAGACCGTCCCATCAAATACGCAGCACAAGATTTTACTGCTCAATCGGTCCAGGAGTTAACTACGCATCTGTTACAAATAACAAGTTATATACAAATAAATTAGTAAACATTTAAAAATCATTAAAATAATTATTAAATATGCAATAAATTAATATATGCAATTATACTTAAAATCAGAAATTATAAATTTTGATAATTTTTGTCGTAACTTTTCAATTTTGCACATAATTGTACTGTGTGCATTAAAACGCCATGCAGTCACAAATACTAATTAATACTAATTTAAAATACTCAAATTTTATGTAAACCAAGTGATTAAAAACCTTAATAATAATTCAAATAAGTTATCAATATATAATCAATTGATGAAAAGTATCATACTAGGCATAAAATTGTACCATATAGAACAATTGCATCACCTCGCTTTATCATAATTTGATATGAAATATCTAAATATTATTAAACAGCTAAAAATCCTTTCAGTAATTAAAAAAATATTGATAATAATTAAATAAAATAAATCTTGTTTTACGTAAAATTGCACAAAACAATCTCAAACGTATTCCGTTTCCTTTTACTAGTTTTGAATTTCTAAAGTTTTTACCTATGAAATGATGAACAGCTGAAAACCTTTTAAAATTGTATATAAAAAGTCTCGTTTTGCACAAAATTGAAGCATAAAATGAAGGCAAATGCATTGTTTCTTTTATAATTAATTTAAAATATCCCAGTTATAAATAAATCAACAGCTTTAAATTCTTGAAATAAATGTTAGATATAGAATAACAGTTCATACATTCGTATTTTATCCACTTGCTGATCATGTTGCATCAGTTTACTTGGAGATCTCTAAATTTCGAAATCGTATATTTCTGAGAGTATAATTAATAAAATTGACTTTCAACTGAAGGTGGGGATGAATGTGACCTTAAGAATGAATCATTTCATTTCACCCTGCTCATTCATTTTAAAAGATAACTTGCATATTCTTCCAGCAAACTCAAAACTTGCATACTGCTAAGTTTGAAAGTTAGAAAAATTTGCATTTGTGACTATCTTCTTCCATTTTATGCAAAAACATTTTTTTGCTTATACTGTTACTTTATACAAGACTTACAATATCTTTTAATTGTTTTCAGCAGTATGTATATATATA